CTTAGACATTCTTGAGGAGACTGGAATGATGGGTTGCAGAGCTATCGACTCTCCTATGGATCCGAATGCTAAGCTTCTGCCTGGACGGGGGAGCCTCTTAGAGACCCTACGAGATATAGGAGGTTGGTTGGCAAATTGAATTACCTCACAGTGACTAGACCTGACATTTCTTTTCCGGTGAGTGTTGTAAGTCAGTTTATGTGATAGTCACTGGGATGTAGTTCTTCGCATTCTTCGGTATATAAAGTCAGCTCCAGGCAAAAGATTACTATTCGAGGATCGAGGCCACGAGCATATTGTTGGGGTACACAGATGCTGATTGGACATGATCACCTTTTGCTAGACGTTCTACGTCTGGATATTGTGTTCTAGTAGGAGGTAACTTGGTCTCGTGGAAGAGCAAGAAACAGAATGTAGTTGCTCGATCTAGTGCCGAAGCCGAATATCGGGCCATGCTATGGCGACGTGTGAGTTAGTTTGGGTCAAGCAGTTGCTCAAGGAGTTAAAGTTCGGTGAAATCAGTACGATGGAACTAGTGTGTGATAACCAAGCTGCTCTTCATATTGTGTCAAATCCGGTGTTCCATGAGAGGACTAAACACATTAAGATCGACTGTCACTTTGTCAGAGAAAAAATACTTTCAGGAGATATTGTTACAAAGTTTGTAAAGTCGAATGATAAACTAGCAGATATTTTCACAAAGTCTCTTACTGGTTCTCGTATTAGCTACATGTGTAACAAGCTCGGTACATATGATATGTATGCACCGGCTGTATAGTGTAATCTTGTCCCACATTGGAAGATGAGTAATATCTCCTTGTAGTGTATAGCTATAAATAGGGACCTCTTGTATTGTATTTATAATCCAATATCAATAACATATTTTCTCCCGTGCCTTCTCACATTTTCCTATGTGAAATTGTATGAAGGCACCAAGGTTATTGTCCCACCAGAGGCAATATCGGTGAAATCTCTCCATCTACTTAAGTCTTGGCAGATAAAGTTATCTGGTATGTGTGCTGGTAGGAAGTACTCTATGCCTAGTGGGCTAGTGAAGTGCATGTAAGTTGGCCCGAATACCACCATTATCCAAAAGGTTGTACTAGGGCACCTACTGATAGACAGACCATTTCGAGTCTTAGTGGCCTCTGCTAATGGTTAAGTTTTTTGAGAACATTTTACAAGAGTGCCAAGATTCCGTAAGTAGTGATTACTACTTGTATGAGACAGTGAATAACCTTTCCTATATATTTCTTTGATTAAGGAATGTTTTTGTTTCAAGAGTTCAGTCGCTCAGTATGAGCTCTAGCAGAATTTAGCTGCTGTTGGATTGAAATCTTCTCATTCTCGAGTGGGAGAATTACTTCTTAAGCAGGTTCAGGAGGCTCCGTTACGCCCGAGTATTGCCGTTGCTATGATTATTGGGGATTTTTTCCTCTCTTGCTAGTGTACTAAACATGAATATGGTAGTTATCTCAGAGTTATCTGACAGGTCCTCTAGATGCATGGCTGTTCATCTTTCTAACTTTTATCTTCTATGTATCAACGGGTTCTCGTAACTATTTGAAAATCTGGTGCATTTGTTTATATATAAGGTTATGTAGGTGATGCATATTGTTTTTCCCTCCAGTTTTGCAGGAAAAGAAACTCTTAGATGCTTAGCATTAGCCTTGAAAAGAATGCCTATGGGTCAACAATCACTCTCCTTTGATGACGAAAATGACCTTACATTTATTGGGTTGGTATGCTCTCTCTTCTTAATGTCAGTCTTACTTTTGCATGTTAAAAGCATTACAACTTCTTTGATTTGTTTACTAATTTTTTGTGTGATTTATGGAGTACTTCCTTTAAAGACAAAGTATTTAGTATCGGAATGAGATGGATCTGAGTAGAGTGGAACGGATGCAAAGGATTGAAATAGCTGACTCCAAATAATTTGGTGTAGAGGCGTAGTTGATTGATATATGTATATACACACATATATATGTACATGGAATACCTTTTTAGCAGTTTTTAATGCCTGTAACTGCTACTGATAATGATCTTTTTGCACCCATTCTTTCTAATACATGGCGAAAGTTTCTTCTATCAGAGGTTTAAGTTCATGAAATGCTAAGATTTTAAACTATCCAATCTGAACTTACGGACACCGCTCTGAATTCTTCTAAATAATGAGAATCTGTATGGAATTTCTCTTGTTCTGAAATTTCTCGACATTCTAACACACATCTGTATTTTCATACAAACATACTGAAAGAGAAGTTTTCCATTTCTTATATTTATGTGGGATAAAGACCTTGCTCTTAAAATTATATCTCATTTACCCTATTTGGCTACAAATGATTTATTTCACTGCGAAATTATTTCTTATGGTCTGGATAGGTTCTCTTTTATTGCACTACCAGTTTGTTTAAAAGAATTTTAGATTTTAACTGTGATCTAGCCTAAGCGAGTGAGAATTTTAACTTCTTCTATCTCTATCTGCTTACCTATCACTTAATAGATTGTGAAAGGGACATACCACTTTATCCCGAAAGTTGTATACGTAGATTTTTTTTATCACTTCCTTCATTTGCACCTTTCTTCATTAAAGTCCGTGCTCTATTTTTCACATTTAAAGCGCCAATATATTTGTTAGATAGTTATGTAAATAACCCTAGTCCCACATGGAATAAGAGTAGAATATGTGTTGTGTTAGGGCTATTGTAAAACACTTAATAGAAAAAAATCAATAATATATTTTTCTCCCGTGCTTTCTGACATGGTATCATTAATGTGGTTCTTATGCTTTCCTGAGCCGAGACTTGGAAACAACCTCTCTATCCTCACAAGGTAGGGGTACGGTCTGCGTACACACTATCCTTCCTAGACCCCACGGTGTGGGATAATACTAGGTATGTTGTTGTTGTTGCTTTCTCACATGGTATCAGAGCATCAGTGAGAAACTTATCGCTGTACATCATTCCAGCAATTTCCGGGAAGAAAGACCTCGTCGCCATGCAATTTTCCGGCGACTTAAGAAGGGACAGTGTCCGCAACAAAATCTTTTTACCTTGGTGTTGTGCAAAATCTAACACCACCACAAGATTCCTAAGACAGAGGCGACCAAACCCCAGAAAAAATCTCCAGCAAAGCCTCCACCACGCGCTGGTTAGAGACAAGTTTCCGGCGACGCGTCTGTTTCACGCGCCGGCGCGTGAGCCTACTTCCAGCCAATTTTTGGCCGACCTTCAAGACAGATTGTTTGCAAGGCTTTTTCGAGCCTACCCATCAAGATTACACCAGATTCCGACGACTTTTTTATTTTCCGGCGAGCTACAGTAGTTTCTCTTATACTTAGGGAGTCAACTAGGGCTCACGGAGGTTGTTAGAATTTTGGTCGAAACAAAATGGGAACCGATACTTTGAATGGTTGGGTGGTTTCTTTACCGGATTATATGGAGTTTCTTCGATACAAAGCATGTAAGCAGACATCTTCTGAGATAGCTTCTGTTATTCAAACATGTAATAGCGTGACTTGTGTCCAATCTTCATCCTCTGAGTCTTGGGTCATTGATTCAGGTGCATCTGATCCCATTTCGGGTAACAACTCTTGTTTCACTACTATTTCTGTTCTCAATCTCCAGCGGTACCTTATGTTTGCTGATCTTACCTTCTTTGAAACCCAATCATACTTCACAGGTCCAGATAATCACTTAGATATTTCTGAGGTGCTACCGTTTCCATCTTTTGGAGATTCAATCACTATCTCTCATTCATCTTCCTCTACAACTCCAACTTCACCACCTACATCTCCAACTCCAGCTCCACCACCTATAGCTCCAAGCTCACCACCTAGACCAACTCAACCTTCTACAGCTCCACCACTCCTGACTTATCATCGTCGTCCGCGCCCATCAACAGGCCCAGCTGATTCACGTCATGCACCTGACCTTGCTAATACTGCAGACTTATCTCCTCTTAGTCAATCGATTGCACTACGGAAAGGTATACGGTCCACACTTAATCCTAATCCCCATAATGTCGGTTTAAGTTACCACCGTCTGACATCACCCCATTATGCATTTGCATCATCTTTGTCCTCCGTTTCCACCCCTACCTCTACATGTGAAGCACTTTCTCATCCAGGATGGTGACATGCTATGATTGACGAGATGTCTGCTTTACAGACGAGTGGTACTTGGGAGCTTGTTCCTCTTCCTTCGGGTAAACCGATTGTTGGTTATCGTTGGGTGTATGCAGTCAAAGTTGGTCCAGATGACCAGGTTAATCGACTTAAGGCTCGTCTTGTTGCCAAAGGGCATACTCAGATATTTGGGCTCGATTATAGTGATATTTTCTCTCTCGTGGCTAAAATAGCATCGGTTCGCATTTTTCTATCCATGGCTGTTGTTCGCCATTGGCCTCTCTATCGGTTGGACATTAATAGTGCTTTTCTTTATGGTGACCTTGAGGATGAGGTTTATATGGAGCAACCACCTGGTTTTGTTTTTCAGGGAGAGTCTACTGGCCTTGTATATCGGTTTCGCCGGTTGCTATATGGTCTAAAACAGTCTCATCGAGCCTGGTTTGGTAAGTTCAGCACAGTTATTCAGGAGTTTGGCATGACTTGTTGTAAAACTAATCACTCTGTGTTTTATTGGTATTCTGCTTCAAATCGCTGTATTTATCTGGTGGTTTATGTTGATGATATTCCGGCAATGATCAGGATAGTATTACTAAGCTGAAGCAACATCTCTTTCAGACTAAGGATCTGGGCGGATTAAAGTATTTTCTGGGTATTGAGGTCCTTAGTCTAGCTCAGGTATTGTGATCTTACAACGGAAATATGCCTTAAACATTCTTGAGGAGACAAGAATGACAGTTTGGAGACCTGTTGACACTCTCATGGATCCGAATTCTAAACTTCTGCCAGGACAGAGGGAGCCGCTTAGCGATCCTGCAAGATATAGGCGGCTAATTGGTAAATTAAATTACCGCACAGTGACTAGACTTGACATTTCCTTTCAACTGAGTGTGGTGAGTCAGTTTATGAATTCTCCCTGTGATAGTTATTGGGATGCAGTTGTTTGCATTATTCGATATATAAAATCAGCTCCATGCAAAGGATTATTGTTTGAAGATCAAGGCCATGAGCAAATTGTTGGATACTCAGATGCTGATTGGGCAAGATCACCTTCTGATAGACGTTCTACATTTGGATATTGTATTTTAGTAGGAGGTATTTTGGTGTCTTAGAAGAGCCAGAAACAGAATGTGGTTGCTCGGTCTAGTGCAGAAGCAGAATATCGAGCAATGGCTGTGGCAACATGTGAGCTAGTTTGGATCAGACATTTGCTCAAGGAGTTGAAATTTTGTGAGATCAGCAAAATGAAACTTGTGTGATAATCAAGCTGCCCTTCATATTGCATCAAATTCGGTGTTCCATGAGAGAACTAAAC